ACTGGCCTAGGGGTATTTTAATTGGTTTTAACAAAATTTTAATAGAGCGGCCAATTCAAATATTTATTTTTAATTATTTTAGATTTGTATTTGGTATTTATGTGGGATTGTTTTAAACTGGCTGTAAGCCGCCCTGAGTCCTCCGGGAGAAGGGCGGGGTATAAATGAAATAAATAAATAAATAAATAAATAAATAAATCGTTGAGCAAAGCAGTCATTAAGCATGATGACCACATGACTTCTTGTGGGGTTGTCCCGGAGCAACCCATTCTGCATGAACATATTGAGTAGGGAGAAGCAATTGGAGACAGTCAGCCTCTTAGATAACTTGGGCTCTGTGCCATGAAAGGCTTTATAGGTAACAACCAAAACCTTGAGTTGCATCCAGAATCCAACTGGCAGGTATTGCAGCTCACAAAATTGGAAGCAACCAAAGGGGTCCAGTGGTTTATTGAGGCATACCACCCACCTTTTCCATTGCCAGAGGATGATATACTACATGGACCCGTCCCATAGTCACCTTCTGGGCTTCTTTGATAGCCCAGAAAGAGCTAGAATTTAACCAACAGGTGGCCAAGCTGGCAGATTGGAGGACTTTATTCACTTCTTAGAGTGTTACAGAATTCAGTCCAGATAACCTCAGAAAGAATGCACTATGCAACTCACTTGGATCTGGCCAGAGACCAACTCCAAATAAATAAACTTTTTTCACCAAATAGCATGAATACTCACTGCAGTTCTGCAGATGGATGGATCACTCTACCCATAGCTACTGGTTAGCTATCAGCAGAAACAATAAGGGCAGAAAACTAGAAATGCTTCACTGCTCTTATCACCAAATATGGACAAAATATTCATGTTCAGTCAGATTCACTCTTTAGACTTTCTGCAGAAACAGAAGCGTCACTTCTAGCTCTTCATCTCTGGGGCTCATCAGAAAACTAAGGTATACCCTAGGATCAGTGCACACAGAGGTCTCAAAGGAGCAATCTAGTCCAGCCTCAATCATCCACCTATTCCAGGATGCAACCAAGCTCTCAGTTGTGATCTTGGGATGCAAGTTTGGAAACAGGGATTTATCTTTGGATTTACTGTTTTAGTTCTCCTGCAGTGACACAGGAGGACAATCCTCAAATTGCTGCTGGAAGAGTTTACTTCCCCGGAAGAAAAAGAGGATGGTGGAATGCTAAATTCACCCTCAGTAGAATTTATTATGCAATTTTTTTTGATGTTTCACAATAAAAATTTTTAACTATACCAAGTCCATCGTTGTTCAGATCCCGTAAGTGCACCTCTTCTCCAAAGCGTGAAAATCTCCTATCTCCATTGAATGTGCTAAGTATAGAAGGTTTGCCATTTTCCATCAAGTCATATATCAAAACACTTCCTGCTTGGTGGAGTGTAGAGGATATAAATGAAATCCTGAAGACACTGTCTGAAGAAAACCAATCAAGGTGACAAAATTATGGTTGCTATAAAAAATGTCAAGAAAGCATTGTTGAGTTACGAATCCACATTTAAATGCAGAAAACACTGAATCTACTGAATCTATTTGAAGTAATGATCAAGTAGTTTATCAACAAAGACCTGCTTTTAGAATAATCATGTGCAGAGCTCCCAGTCTTAATGAAAACTATATTGTAATTTCAGCCAGGAGATATTCTTTCAGCTAGAGGTTGACTAAATGGTTGCATATTTCCAAGCCACAAAATTCAAAAAGTTGAATTGAACAGAATATTGGAGAACAGAGATGCAAGTTATGATTTAGCTGGACTATTGCTCTAATATTAAGCATGGCTCAGTTTAGATCTTCACCTATAGTAAAACAGGACACATGTAGTAAAATGCAAAAGCACTAGTTAAAGGGAAGGAATGAAATCAGCAATAAAAGAGTATAAGTCTAACACAGTGGGAAGCCCCTATATTGAGTATATTGCTGCATATGATCCCATTCATCTTCTGCAATAAACATTGGGAAGTATTTCAGAGTGTTTTGATCTTTCATTTGGAATCCTTTACAGATTAAAATTGAGATATTTTCATTTTCCAATAGTAATGCCATTGTGATCAACATTTTCATTTACAGCGAAACTTGAAATTGCCAGACTGAGGAATTGAAAAACATCCCAGAAGAACTATTTAATAATACTTCCAACAGATTTGCATGGATGCAGTCATGAGGAGTTGATTCAGCTAGAAGGCATCTTCATGTTCCATCAGAAGTAGACAACCGATATTCCCCAACTTTTATTTTTATTTTTCTGGAGGTACCTGAAATCACGTCTGAACATCAAGATCTACTTCCTGATATAAAAGACCTAAACAATCCAAAATAGATCCCCTAAGAAATCTAATACAATTATTTGTGCAATATTATGTAAAGTTGTATAGGGCTAAGGACTCAAATGAACCAATGGGTCTGGGAACCAAAAATGACAAAATATTACAGCCTCAATTTCTCAACATAAAGGCAACATACATCACAACAGGTCTGCATCATTGTATATAAACAATGCATGTATATTAAGTTGAATGGATTTTAATGAACTTTCTATATAAGTAAATTTAGATTCTGTATCATGATTCTTTGCCTATTGGAATTTCTTTATCCTCTGTCATAATGCATTACTGAAATAAAAATGCTGCCAAGTCTTGTTCCAAGTTCAGAGTTGCATACCTTGTGTCGGTGCACCAACTATCAGTACTTGCTTGGAGAGTCCTTCTATGGAAAGGAAGCCGGTTGCCAAAGCTGAACCAAATTTCCCATTTTCCTGCATGGGTATAATATGAGCACATATACATATATATAGTTAGTCTCATGAAATCAAAAAATTTCTCATTCTTGTTTTTTATATTATTTCAAAGGGCACCACAAAGACTTACATCATCCCCACTTAAAGTGAACCAGCTTTGGGTATTTGGTGGGATATAGCCATATACCATTCCAACAGCTTGCCTGTTGTTTTCGGATAAATGACACCCTAGGCTAGAATACAAAATGGTTATAGTAAAAAAAACAAAAAACACAGACCAATTAGGATAAACACTGAACAATACTAAAAAAATAGTAATTGCAAGACATACTGTAGAATCATCACCATCAATATCAGTTTCATTTCAGAATCTCAATTTTTGGAGTATTCTGCTATTCATCTCAACTTGTCAGGTTAATATGACTTGTGATCCCCAAATATATAGACTACAATTCCCATTATCCTCCAGATTATTGCTCATTTT